AGTCCCCATTCTGCCAGCCTGTTCCTCTTCACTTCTTTTTCCTGCTTCTGTACTGATGTAACTTCATAGTGTTGCCTTTTTTTTTTTTTTTTTTTTTTTTTTTTTTTAGAAGCAGGCTCCCCTCTAATACCCTTCTCTCCACAGCAGTTCTTTTCAAAACAACTGTTTAATTAGTCAAACAACTTTGAATGTAACAACAACAGCAAACACGCAGAAACATCCATGCCTTAATGGCTGGAGAACAAGAAACCCCAGACTGCATGGAGTCTCCTGAATCACCCTTCTTTGTTAATATCAACCATTTTCTCGACACGAATTACCACTCCAGATATAACATTTCCCCAACTTGTATTTCAAAGGTTCACAAAAATAAGCCTTTTTGGTTACACCCTTTTACCTTAACATAATCATTCCGTAAAGGCATTAATGCTTGATTTAGAACTGAATACGTTGCCCCGTATCAATAAGAAATTTCACTTCTGTTCCTCTCCTAACTTCATTATAATCAGTGGAGGATCCGCTAGGGTAGATTCCCCAGGTCCCTGTTATTCCTGTTGAAATCAGGGACCAATGATTACCCTAGAAATAGGCTAGTCAATTTGTCCTCCGAAGCCAGGTCCAAACCGTTTTGTTTTATTTATTTATTTATTTTCATTACATTTCAGAGTTGGTCCAAAAATTCCACAGGGGTTTCTTTTAGACCTTGTTGGAAGCATATTCTCAATTCCCAAATCGTCCAGATTCTAGTATTTACTTAACCGTTCATAATTTTCAGGATGATGAGGGTCTTAGTGGGGGTCGGTCAGGAAAATGCAATTGTCCACAGTTCCCTGAGCGATCCCATCGGCAATCTGAGCTCACACATGAACTCAGGTTGTTTTCAGAGTTAACTGCTTTTCTGTTTCTGTGACAACTCTCTGGGACTCATCATGATCCCTTTGCCCCAGAGGGCTAACACCCAAGATTTTAAGGTCTCAGCCCCAGGCCGAGGCAGAACTGTTAACATTCCTACATCCTCTTTCCCTGCTCATTCAACTTCAAACACCTTTAACACTTGCAATAACCCTTTTAACACTTCCTTTATCTTTCTCCAGCCTGTACTTTTCTAATGCCAGCATCAAAAGCACAGTCAGGGACCAACTTAATTCCGTACCTTTTCCCTCCAAGATGCTGAAACAACATCAGTATACAACATTCCATCCTATTTTCCTTCTCAAAAACAACTTTGACTGTAGCAAAGTATTATAGTTTAAAGCTCCATTAAAAGGCCACTTTTTTCAACATTCCAGCTTATAAAGCAGCCACCATTGATTACAATATTTTGTCAGAGTTTTCTTATTTTCACTTCCACCCGGAGCCCCCCCTATATCCTTCCAATAACTCAAAATACAGCTCAACGTACTTTTCTTAGGAATTTCACTGCTTACTCGTCCCCCCATTTTCCAGTTCACACTTTCAGAATACATGTATCACTTACAAAACTGTGGGCACACAGGTATCTTTCAATAGCGATGTCACAAAACTACTATTATTACCAGGAGATATTGCCAAAATCACAATAACAATAATCAGAGTAAAATTCCACAAGCGATAGGTCAGAAAACCAAAATATGTAACACTGTAACGATATCTTTCTTATAACAACGTCACGAAACTTATTATTATCACCAAGAAAATAGCCAAAATCGCAGTAACAATAACCAGAGTTAAATACCATACTCCATGAGTCAGACAACCAAAATAGGCAACACAATTCCAGATGGACCTTAAAGCGAGCTCTTTCCTTAAGGTCCCCAAATATACTTATGGTGCTTACCACAAAGTATATACCAAACACTGCCTCGCAGAAGATCACCTTCCGACTTAACAGACAGTTCCAGATACAGATGGACCTCAAGGTCCCCAGATATACTTGTGGTACTAACCACAAAGTATATACCAAATACTGTCCTGCAGAAGTCACCTTCCGACTTACTGGACAGTCCCAGATGACCGGTCTACCAGAAAACCAAACCAGAATAAAGAATATACTCACTTACAGTGATGGGGTCCTTGTCTGCCTCCGCAGTGATCCGGTGAGTCGAGGAGTCCCTCCGGGAAATCCCGGGGGTACCCTAGGGAGTCCTGTCCCCAGCGGGTCCTGCGGACCGGCAGAGAGGTTGTCCCATCTGGGGTGCCAAATTGATTTAAAGATCAAAGCCGAAATTTCCTTAAGTGGTATATTCTTTATTGCAGCGCTGGATGCACGGGGGATCCTTCCGCCTATCGTGCATGTCCGAAGTGACAAAATATCTCATATTTATACAGCAAAACAATGAATATTCAATTAGCATGCATACATATTCATCACCTAACCCCGCCTACCCTCGCTTCGTATGCTAATTAGCTTATCAGTCCTTGCGCTTGCGCAAAGCCTTCCAAGAATTGTGGGCCGGGGTCTTCAGGATGTGGGCAGTGGTCGTTGGGAGGAAGGCCGTAGGTCTTCCTCGTAATGCACTTTTCACCTTTGCTTAATCAGTTGTTTTCCAAGCTGTAAAAATGCTGAGTTGGCTTTCAATTTAACTGGGGGTCGGCCGATAACAGGAAGTCTCAGTTAACAAGACAAGACAATTGACTCAAGTTATCTCAAGTCTCAGCCTGACTAACGGTTAACAGATACTGGGATGTTTTCAAATAACAAGATGCTTAAACATAACAAAAGGTCTACAGATAACAAGATGTCGTTTACTTTGTCCCTGCTAACTTTTAACCACAAGTTTTATTCTATCCTAAAGTGAGTTTATACTATATCAGTATATACATCATGCGTTGTTAGAAATGCTGTAACTTTTGGATATATTGGGAAATACCCCAGTTTAGTTGCAGTATATGAACAACAACATGAAAAGGCTGTGATCTACTTAAAAAAATATATAAATAAATAAATTAATTAAAAACAACTATACACATCTGTCCCTATATGCCCACACATCTCTTCTTCCTTTCTATTTTAGGTTTCCAGAGCTGCTTTTACAAGCTAAACAAAAAAGATCAATTCTGTTCTGTGGCTTGCCTTTTTTTTTTTTCCCTTGTTTTATTTAATCTTGCATTGAAAGCTATTTCTTATGCTTTGTTTAGGGCGGCTTTTGCAAAACCAAATGTTTTTGGTTTCAGTTAGCCAATAACCATACATCAGTAGGAACATAGTAACTGAGTTACTGCCACAGGGGAGTTGGAGCAAAGGTTTCTGTGCCATTACTGCTCGACCTGTGCATTTCCCAGGTGCAGGTGGTCGTGCACCCCTGAAAGCCCTGAGACAGTGTCAGGTGGTCACCAAACGCCTCGGGCAGAGCAGCAAGATTGCTTGCTGAGACCTTTTCTAGTGCTGCATTGTTGGAGGCCACAATGTGTTCTAAGGGTAAGGAGTTAGTGGCCATTTTCGTATTCATCTGCTCTCTTTGGCGTTAGGCATTTGGCTCATATCAGTGGCCTCTTACCTCCATTTCCTTTGGCATGGTTGTGAAGTGTAGCAGAAGGTGTTGCCGTTTTCAGATGGCAAACTGTTCCGTGGAGAACAGTGCCAGCTAACACGTCAAGGATCTTCTGGATTCCTGCATTAAGTAAATTCTCTTTCCACTTGAGGGCTGTCCTAGTACTTGAAACTCTTACAGAAAGTGTGATGTTAATGATTGTTCAGCAAAAAAAGTTACTAGTTGCCAAATATTTTCATGCTTCTCCAGGTCAGCTTCCTGTAATATATGCTGTTTTGCTTTATCAGTTAAACAGTTGTAAGATTTTTCCCCTTAAATACTGATTTAAAAATGATTGGGTTCCATCTACACTTAGCATGAGGATTACATCTCAAACTTAAGAGCGCAGTAATGAATTATCATTGATTCACGTGATTAGTCCCACAGCCCATCACATTCCTGTGAGGTGTACTTTGTGAGGTGTGCCATCTCTTCAGAAACTCTCAAACTATTTTCACACAGTCTGCAAAATTAGGAATTTTTTGGATTTCAGGTTTCTCTTTCCACTAGTAGTAGTTACTTTTAATCTTAGTTTGCTGAATTTGAAATTTAAAAGGAACAAGGGAAATGAAGATATTACTGTAATTACGTAGTGTGTTTAAATAAAACTGCTTGAGATGTCTTAGTGAGTCTTCACTATTAAAGAAATAAATAGTTTGTGTAGCTGAAGGATAGTTGTCCTTTCTGAATGTGACTTTCTGAACCACAATATGCCTTGCGCCTGCCCAGAGGTTTGGTATATTGAAATAAGGTTACTCTGAGGCATGCCGGATTTCATGTGGCCACGTTGTGTCCAGTGGATTACAATTGTTTCTCAGTAATCACAAGACATGTTTTCCTTATTTTGAGGGGTGTTTTCCTGTTTTATGGTATCAACTGTGACAGGCCAAAAGATGTTGAATAGGACATTTGACTTCTCTGGTAATCTAAAGCTCTGCTGGAGCATGCTATTTCTTTCAAATATTGTAAGTGGTGAAAAATGCGTTGCATGGATGAGCAGTACAGGGATAACAGGGTACTGTGAGTATAAGTGCATTCAGTAGCAACGGAACCCAAAACTTGGAGATGCTGGAGTATCGCCGTATTTAGCCTTCATGCTGCTCAGCACCAGCCAGTTCTGTTTTGCCTGTGCCCAGGATGTGGAAAAGAGGCAGGAATCCTGCCATGCCTGGTGGCAGTGTTGTCGCCTGCCCTGTGGGTTGACATCTCTCACAGCTGTGTGCTTCTCTGCCCATACAAGTGGGCTGGCTGGAGATGGGGAGGTTTGTGAGATTGGTGTCCCCTCACTGCAGCCGCAGAGCCCTCAAGTTCTACTGACCTCTTGGCCCTAAGGTTTAGCTGTGCAATAATAATGGTTGAAATACAAACCTTCTTTTTTTCCTCTTTTTTTGTCATTGTTTTGAAAGATTGGAATTGTGCCCATTGTAAATGGAACTTTTGCTTAAGAAATTATTGTTCTGCTTTTGTTTTTTTGTTGTGTTTTTTTTTTAGTGGCCTATCTTATAATATTCCATATTCTCTTTGTGCTCTTTGTGTGGACGTATTGGAAGTCTATTTTTACTCTCCCAGTGCAGCCAGGCAAAAAGGTAAGAATCCAAACACTTCGCATTCATTGTTGAGTGAAGCAGGGATACTAATGAAAACTCAAAGAAGATAACCTAGAGTTATCCATAAAAACTGAGTAGTTTACTGTTCTGAGAATCCTTTGACTCCCCAAAGAGCATGATTTAAATCAGACATGGTGTTAAGTATAAAGCTACACTTTTTTAGGTATTCCAGGAACAGGTAGGATTTTTAATGTTGAGAATAATAGGATTTATGATAATTACCTTACATATTTATAGTGGCTTTGATCTCTAAGCATTTAACAAGTTGGAAGTGAAATCCTGAGAACGTTGCTTAACCTAGCCAGACTGGAGTCCTGTGAGTAAGGAGCTATGGCTTTATTTTTGTCTTCCTTGAAGATGTCACAGCACAAGTAGAAACGGGTGCATTTTTAATGGCAGTGGGGTTTCTTGATCTCCACAGCTGCATTGTTGTGGTGGGAACATTCTGTGTGCCTTCCAAGGCTCAGCACTGCCTGTAGCCCTTTGCTAGTTGGAGTAGGCTTCTTTACAGCAGTTAAGCTCGTCCCATTTGTCAGACTTGTTCTTGTGACAGTGAGGAATAGAAGAATCAATTTAATTTTAAACATGATGAAATTCTGATGTGACATGGCTGTGACGGTGAGGACTGTGGCTATGTGCATAGCATATGCTAGGTGATGGATAGCTCCAGTAACCACCAGTACTTGTTACTTCCCTGGTCAACAGCATCATAAAAGATAAATACAAGAATATACTACAGTGAAGAGAAACGGGTGCACGGTGACAAAACCACATTATTTCGGAAGTTATACTTTAGCTAAGGATGTGGTATTGTTTTTTTGATGTAGATAGCTTATTTTAGGGCAAGAGTCTGATTTAGGGCACAGGACAGTCAGGTAGACATTTGCTTCTATTGTTTTTCTGCCAAATATTTACTTTTTTTCGTGGAGGTCAGATTGAACTATTTTGCATTTTGTGTTACTGCTTTATAAAATACCAATAAAACATTGTGTTTAGAGCAATGGAAAAGGTGTGTGACTCTTGAAATATTCATGGCCATAATCTAATCCAAATTACAAGAATATGAGTTTATAAATAACTAATTCCAGTGTTAGAAAAATATAGCTGGGGGACAGGTTCTTGCTCACAAGGAAAGTGCTTGAAATGTCATTATCACTGTTATTAATGCTATTTGTGAAAAAGTCGAAAGCAGTAACAGTAGTAGCAATTAGAGTATGTTGCTTTGTGATCTTAATTTCACTTCTGCATTTTTTCCTGATGTACTGTGTAGTATTCTGCCTGTCCAGCACTTACGTTCTCACTCTATCTCCTTAACCAATATATTTTCCTGTTAGATTAATCCTGTTAGAAGGAGTGTGAGATAAAAATGTTTCCAAACTTGTCTAGATTTGAAAAATTCTCTCCTCTACCCATGAGTAACTGGTTCTCTCATGACTTCTGCTTTTAGTATCATATGTCCTATGCTGACAAAGAACGCTACGAAAATGAAGAAAGGCCAGAGGTGCAGAGGCAGATTCTTGCCGAAATTGCCAGGAAGTTGCCAGTGTACACAAGAACAGGGAATGGAGGTCAGCTAAGCAGAGTTTTGTTTCTCTAAAACAAGCAAATCAAGCAGCATATGCTGGTAATGCAGATTATAGTACATCCTGATGCCATTGCATACACTGCATAGCTTTTGTACTAAGAATTTTCACATCTTTCTTGTCAGGTTTTATGTTTGGGAAAACCAAAAAAAGCCTTTAACACCTGGTTCATCTTCAGTGGAGTACCAAGTTCTGGCTCTGAGTAGCAATATGTTACCCTTTGTACTTAGAGTTCAACAGCCTGCTTACATTGTCTGAGTTTAATAGTTGCAGTAGTAATAATAATATACCAAAATCTGTAGTAATTTTTACTTTAAAAAGAGTGTAGCTTACAGATGCAGGGCATACGGTCCAAACATCTGTTCATTGAATTGTTCTGTGAGTAAATGTATCCTGCAGTCCTTTCCAAGTGTTTTTCAGACTGGAAGTTCTGGCCTGTTCATTTCTGTCAGACGAACCAAAGAATTCTGAAGTAAGGAGCTGCAGTATAGCCGATTATCAACATGGAATGTACTGAAAGTCCGAGTAAATGTAGAAGCCAGAAGGAAGTGTACAGTTCCATTTTAGTTGTTTTATGCTGATCGCATGCTTTTTGCAGTGAGGAGAGTTCCCTGCGTGTACAAATCTCTAGAACTGCGAGCATTGCTTATCTGATTATGACCTGGCAGCAAATCTCAGCTGCAAATGCACTCATCTTTTACAGAGATAAAGGGAAAGAATATAGATAGTTTGAAAATGAGCAGAATATTAACAAATATGAAAAAAAAAAAAACAACTATTATTTGCTATTAACGTGTCTTTAATTACAGGTATTCGATTCTGTGATAGATGCCAGCTGATAAAACCAGATCGTTGTCACCATTGTTCTGTTTGTGCTATGTAAGTTAATGGATTGTTTGTCACTGAAATGAATGTACCCTCTAAGTTATGCGAATGTGCTGGTTCTTCACGTATCTTTTTGCATACTTGGATGTAAAGGTACGCGAGTACCTCTGTTCCAGCTGCAGCCAGCAGCATATGTACATGTGTGACAGCATGAAGGTTTGCATTCTGCTCTTTGTGGCCCTGAAGTGTTTGCAGTTCCCACACCTACAAATCTGTGAGCGTTAAGGTGATAGGAAGCTTGCTGTCTGATAAAAGATTAACTGATTGCCTGTAGCAGGTTAAGTAAAGTGCAATTTTTACTTTTTAATATAGTAGGGCCTTTACAAGTGGTGTTTTGCAAAAGTTTTAAGTGCTCTGGGGCGGGAACCATTTTTTTATTTTTTTTTATCTTGCAGAATACCAAAGACATTGGCAGATCTTGAACAAATAATAAATGTTCCATCTTAAAATTATACCTACCTTAAAAAAAAAATCAGCGAGAGTATCATCTTGAGTTTGTGTCATGTGGAAATCTGCCCAAAAAAGGGGGGGAGCTTTTGCTACTGATCTGCAGTTGCCAATTATGTACCAAATATAAGTCTTCCATTTTTCCTTTTTGTCCTTTTGCAGATGTGTGCTAAAAATGGATCATCACTGTCCATGGTATGTCCTAGATTCTGGTTTGTAATTTTCTGAAAAAGGAGGCTGTTTAGATAGATTTATTCTGTAGAATAGCGTCTGTATGCCTCTTTCAGTTTACACCATATTGGGAGATTTATAAAATAATTACACTTTGAAATCGCCTGAAACATTTTTATTTTTGAAAGACAGATCATTCATGTTTGTTCTATTAACTACATGTAAAAAGCTGTTTTATAGATGTAATTTAAAATCCATCTGCTAATTCACTGTGACTATTACTCAAATTGTAAATGGACTTCAACTAACCCCTTAATTTTGTTATGTAGTACTTTGAGCATGCAGTTGGTGGTTGCTTTCAATAATAATATTTGCATGCAATTTGTTTGCGAAATGAAGCCTGCCACCTGTGCATGGTCAAAGATACTTTGTGTAGAATGGTGCATGGAAATATTAAGCTTTATTCTTTTTGAGAATTGCTGCTACTGAATCTCTTAGAGTTCTCCTTTTTAAAAAGGGAAGATCTCAGAAATCAAAAGCAATGCAGACACTTCCCCACCTGAACACCCACGGCATTCCTAAATTTAGGGGGTTTTTCAAACATGAGTTGTGAAAGAAATGCCTATGTTTTTATCTGCACTCCCTTGTTTCATTTTAGAGTTGCCCTGTGCATGGAGAATTAGAATCAAATTTGTTTGATTTGTTTCATATGTAATCAAACAAGTGGTGAATCTGGTTTCTGAGCTGTGCTAATGAATAGAAGTAAAACAGAAATCCCAGATCTGATTACCGCTGCAGATCAGAAACAGACACGAGCAATTAGGATCTGCCTCTGTGACAAATTTACCAGAGTTACCAACTTTAAAACAGCTCTCGACAATACAAACTGTGTTTTTACTTGGCAAAGTCTTCAAGTGAAAAGCAAAACGACTTCAGTTATATTTCGTTTAGACCACTAAGGGGAGCTGTTTATTGATGAAATTACATTGTATAATGAAGAGGGTTAATAACCTCCCCCACAATGTAGTACTTGCTGTGTTATAACTGTGCTGCGCATATCCTGATTCTAACATTGCTTTTGTTCCCTAGGGTGAATAACTGCATTGGATTCTCTAACTACAAGTTCTTCCTACTCTTCTTAGCCTATTCTTTGTTGTATTGCTTGTATATTGCTGCAACAGTCTTCAAGTACTTCATTAAGTATTGGACAGTAAGTCATGGAATCTGATTACTTTTTTGTATCTTCTGAGCTGGTGGGATTTAGGCATTCTAGTTACTTGTTTGTTTTCAGTCAGTGGAGGGTTTGTGTTTGTTCTATAAGGTGTGGGTTTTTTTTGAGCCCGTATTTGAGTGTAACTCCCAATATGTCTGAACTCCACACAGTGAGGAGAAAATAGACTTCGGGAATTTCTAATCACAGGGATAGCTTCTGAAAAACAAGTTCTTTCTTGTACAAATATATATGAACATGTGTATCTTAGATTCTTTTAAATTTATCACAAGTTTATTAGCTTAGAAAACTCAAATATCATTCAAAATAAGATATACTTCACTGAAAGAGAGCCCAAGATTGCAGTTTACTAAAATGTTCTGGTGATTTTTCAATATACATCAGGGTATATCGTCAGCCCTATCACCAGAGTTGGAGGTGTTGCTTAGGGGTAAACATAGCTTGAGTTAGGTTAGCCTCTTCTTAGATGTAAATGTGGTTAATCTTCCCACATCAAAATACAGCTGTTGTTGGCCGGTCAGACCTCCTTATTGGGGAGGGAGAAGGACGGGTGTAAAAAGCCAACAACAACCAACTTCTACTGATTATAGAAATAGTTGTCTTCTAGGTAGAAATTCTTAGCTGTCAACATTTGATGCCTTTAAAGTGGTTGCAAGAATACCTCCTACGTAATTCTGTCTTATTACAGGAAACCATTAATTGTGGGTGGGTGTTTTTCTTTTATGTTGTTTCCTGAACTGCCTGGGCATATTTCTTTTATCTTTGTCTATATTGCTATCTTAAGGATGAGGTCCCTTGCCCATAGGGATACAGCAAGTAAAGAAAGGTGTAGACTGCAGACCTGTAGACTAAACCTGGGGTTGCCACCATACTACTCACTCTTAACTGATGGTTTCCAGCAGCTTCGTGTTTTGAAGAGTGTCAGCTCCCTTCTCTGTTCTGATATCAAAGCATAACATCCTAGCACTGATATGTACATATTTACTGAACAATGTCAAAAAAAAAAATTTTTTTTCTAATCCCCATATGACTCCTTTCTTGATTTAAAAGTTGATGGAAATAAAACATGTTTCTTACTCAGTTATCAATGGTCATTTATATGAAGGCAATACCACCTGGCAACTAAGCTAAGGGAGACCTTATGTCTCTGGTCTTTTTTCTTTAATGTCCCCTGTGCTGTCAGCTCTACATGACAGTGTTTAAGTAACATAACTTTGCTGTGCATTAACTTATTAATTCCTCTTTAAAAAAAAAAAAAAAAAGTCTAATCACCTACAAAAAATGCCTCCTGAGATATTCATGAGACACTGGCGGGAATTATTTTTTATGCTAAGAAAGGCACAGAGACTTCAACTCTCTGCTTGCATATGTATGGTGTACAAACGCTTAGAGGAAATTTTTTTTTTTGCTTTGGGGTCCCCACAGCCCGTCTGTAGATGTATACGTATAAGGAGGAGTTCAAGAGCTTGTGCCTGCCTGTTTCCCTGTGGACACAGGACAGTCTTGTGCCCAGGTGGGAAGACAGCATGATTTTACTGGCTCTGTCACATGTAGAAAGTTAGTAGCACACCACTCCTTCAGCTGTGGTTATGGGAGGGGAAAAGAATCAGATCACTTCTTTGTCTTTTCTTGCTTTTTATAGTAAGGTGTAACTTTTTGTATAATAGTTTGGTAACTTAAAATAAGTGTTCTAGAGGATATCTTTCTTCTCTGGGAAGAAAGAATTATCAGCTTTTATTTGTTCTTATCACTTGTTCTGTGTTTCTTCTCTTTCTAGGGAGAACTGACTAATGGACGTTCCAAATTTCACGTCCTTTTCCTTCTCTTTGTGGCAGTTATGTTCTTTGTAAGCCTTATGTTTCTGTTTGGCTACCACTGCTGGCTTGTCAGTAGAAACAGATCTACTTTAGGTAAGGCTCTCGTGTCTTGCTTAGGTGAGACACTCCATTAAGCAGTGCTGTAACAAGAAAGAGGGGAAAAAATATATTCTACTGTATGTTCTTGCTCGCTTGTGAGGGGAGGAGGATTTAAGGTCTTGGCACAGTGCTGCAGAAATTTCTTGCTGCAAATGAGCTGCATTTATTAGCTGATGTGACAAAAGCTTTGTTAGGGAAACTAGAGCTTTAAAGTGTAAGAGTCCAATTATACAAATGTTATGCATATGTGTAACTACATTTGCTGTGAAATGAGTGCAGCTTTTCAGGAATAATGGTTGTTTATTCTCATATGTTGGAGTGCATCCTAAGCCTGGTGAGGTTGGGAAAAACAATGTCCATCTTCAGTGACAAAGGCAAAGAAATTAGGACTGTAAAATTAAGCCGTTGAAATCAAAACCTGCAGCAGTATGATTTTATGGAGTGATTTCTTTTTCTTTCCTCAGATAAGCTGTTCAAATTTTAAAGATTTTTGGATAAAGTTCTATAACAAAACAGTGTCAAGAGCTTGAGCAAATACTCAGATTTTGTATAATTATTAACTTTAAAACTCAATTTCAAGGGGCACTGAAGCTCATCTAGCCCAAAACATCAGACCTCTGCAGCAGCTTAGAAGGTAGATAAAATTGTTTCTAGTGCACTCAAGGTTCTCCTCCCCTCTCTTTCTTTTTTAGTATCGTTTATCACCATAACAGAGGGCCTGTCTGCGTATGTTTGTTCATTATATCATTAACGAATGAGGCAATTTAAGTCTCCAGTGCTACTTCTGCAGTATGCGTTGAAGACAGACCTACTTAATTCTGCAGGTTTTTGATTTAGAAATTTCTACCCCCTTTTTTAAACAAATTTAATTCAAAGATCTTCTAACTCTATTTTGTAGATTAAACAGGCTGATTTTAGTTCAGTTTGATTATTCCATGAAGTTAATTTTCCAAGACCAAATTCCTGCCTTCAGTTTGAAAGTCTTTGCAGGCTTGCAAAATAAGAAACCTATTATTTTCACACTTTGTGTCTTTGTAATGCTAGCTAATAATCTGGCAAATCATGTTGTCCTTAGATGGCTACAACATGCACAGTCCTGTTTCAGTGTATTTGGCATTGATTTTCATTTTTTCACTGAAATTGCATCTGTATGTAGAGGCTTTCTCAGCTCCAGTGTTTCAAAATGGCCCAGATAAAAACGGATTCAATCTTGGCTTTGTAAAGAATCTTCAACAAGTGTTTGGAGAAGAGAAAAAGCTGTGGTTACTGCCTATTGCCTCTAGGTAAGTAATAATCAAGTCAGTGCTAAAAGCTGATAGAATTAACTAAAGGGACTGACTTCTAAATCTCTTGTATGGCCTCACATGTTATGTCTATTACTGTGTGGCTTGGCTGCCTGCTATTGTACATCGCTGTAAATGCACCAGCAGGCACCACCTGTGTTAATCCCGTACACAAGAAGTCTGGAAGTGAAAGCTTTCTGTCAGGTAAACGCACACACAGGGTGTTTGAACTTTCTTTTTAGACTCCTGGCAACATGTGGATGGGTGTTCACTGCAAAGATGCTGATTTCTTCATCCTCAGACTCCTGTGGCTGAAATGATTTATGCTATTTAATTTAGGGGAAGGTGTCATTTCGGCACTTAGTCGACCAGCAATAAAGTATACTCCAATTAAATTCCTTTAGTTATTGCACCCAATTTAAAATAACTTCATTGCACAGCAACTTGAAACTTTTTCAAGTAGTGGTGTATAAGATCTAAGACCCAGTTGCATCCCAAGTGCCATCTGTTTTCTGCTTCTAAGAATAGTCCAAGGGAAAAGATTAGCACAGGAAGCCTTGCTGTTAATGAAAGGCAGCACAGAATGCTAGTCAGAGGCACGTTAACAGAGTGTGTAGTAATCCTAGGGACAATCAATGCCCAGGTTATTTTCCTTGGATAAGGATAAATTATCAGAAGAGAAAGGTACTTCAGCTAATTTACAGTTCCTCTGTATAGGCTGCTGGATGTTAAGAATTAAAATATGGGGCAGACCAATCTGTAACAACCTTGTTAGTTTATTTTACATGAATTTCAGTAATTTGTTTGATATCCATACACACAAACACATTTATATTTGGTAGAGTAAAGGAAAAAACAGCTTTCCCAGTTTTAGATTTTTTGCATGGGGTATTTTTTTCCCATGTTATTTACAGGTCTAGGTCACAGGAAAGTCGGTCTTGTCTTTCAGTACATTTGACTAAGATTGGGGCCATTTCCTGGTGGGCATCATTCAAACACTTAAGTATAATTTCTGCTCTGAAGAGTCTATGGTATAGATAAAAACTGGTAAAATTGCTCTTTCTACATGAATATTTTCCTTAGTTCCATCTCACTTCTAGCTCTCCTTAACTTTTTTTTCTGTTGTATCCAAATATCTTGATCAAGTTACACATTAAATTCTGCTAGAAATTACTTCATTCAGGATATAGGTTTTAATTTTATTCTCCAAAAAGCTTGAAGGAATTAAGGTTTGAATCTAGTAAAATTTAGTATTTCAGCTGCTACAAAAAATAAACACAGTATTTTTCAAAGCTTTAAAGCATATTAAGTAAACATTGGATATTTCAGTTTGCCTCTGCAAACAAAAAGAACATGTGTAGAAATAATAATCCTTCAGAATCACTTGCTACTTCTTTACAGCATTTTTATATCTTTGTATGCAGCCAGGGTGATGGACATTTTTTCCCAATGAGAGCTTTGTGTGAAGCTCAGAATCCTCTCCTAGCAAATGAAGAGCAGTGGGAAGATGATGGAATAGATGAAGAGCCTCATGGTAAGGTAGCCCTGAAGGAAATTAGTTGTGTCTTGAGCTACAGTGACTAATTCCTGAATTATGAGAGCTAATCAAATTTAAAAAACAGTGCGTTGGCTAAATCGCTAGGCAGCTCTGACTTGACTAATGAACACAAAAGAAAAATAAGCTCTACTTTGAAATCAGGTGTGTGTGTTTTTTTGTTGTTGGTGGTGGTTTTTTGTTTGTTTGTTTGTTTGTTTAGTAGTAGCTTTATACTTGCAAATAAATGGACTGAGAGATTGTTACAAGTTGCAGAAAGAAATTGAAATTTCCACAAACTGGACGTATTTATGTATAAACGCTGTTGTGTGCAGCGCAGTTACTGGAGACATAAAGCTGTGCCTACAAAAATAAAAAGACTAAGAGGTTTTAACATGCATTTATCCTCTGAGAGTTTGAAAATGTGCATGCAAGCACCTGCATGTAGTGTTACATTTAGGAAGCTACTTTATACTTGGTTCAGTTTTAGTACAAGAAGATAAAAGTTTATTTGGTTTTGATACTATAACACTTACAGATTAGACAGTACCTATCCAAGTGCTATCTCTAATCTTTATAAAATATATACGCTGAGAGCAATTCTGGGTGAACTGGCATGTTTGTACAATAGATTTAATCAGTTTCTGAAATGATAACGTATTTTTTATGCTATGGATGTCCTATTAGAAAAAAGACTTTATATATATATATACATTCTTTGATTTTTGTGAGATGCATCCAAAATTAGTTTAATGGTTTGTTACTACTACTATTCTCTGCTCGTACTTGAGGGTTTTTTTCTTACATATTTATCACCAGGCTTTGGTCGTTGGAGAATACAGTATGTAGCAGAATATCAGGGTTAATGTCAGGGTTCATATTTATCATGTTACCAGCATTCAGAAATCCTGCTGCTAAGTTAAGCAAGAGTTCATATTTTTTTGTTTTGTTTTTTCTGTAGACCAAGGATGTCATCCACATTTATAGTAACAGTAAAACTGACAGCAACTTTACCGCATGCTATAGGAAAGACAATTAGATTCCCTTGAAAGAAACATCATAAGCTCCCTGTTCTTTTCACTTCTACAGAATGGTGAAAGCCTGTTTAATTCTAAGGTTGCTGTAATTACCGGATCAAGCAAGTATGCTTGGAGAACCAAATACCACTGCTTTACTGTTCAGAGACGTGGTTTCCATAGTCACTTTGTTTATTGCTACAGAACAGTTTTCAGAAACTTTGACAGTCATGTCCCCTCTCATGGCATACATTTTAACGATAGGTGCACAATGTATGTTTGGGAACACATGAGGAAGGCAGTTGTCTTGGTTAAAAGGGAAAACAAGAACTTTCCACGTGAATTTTTGTATAGGTGTGTGAAATACCATGCAATGAGCTCTTTAATCTGAGCAGCACAGTATTTGCTCTTCAGTCTCTGGTTAGGTCTTACTTGCAACCATTTGTTCCACTGCAAAATAAACAGCCTGTGTTTTTTCCAAGGCATGCTGCATGTACTGCTGGGAAAGTGTACTCTCCAGGATTTTGTGAATAGGGCTAAAGAGGCTCATTTCAGCTTTACTTCAGATTAACTGCTTTAATTAGTTAGTGTTTGTGTGGGTAGAAAACTATCTGTTCCTCCTGTTTTGTTCTATATATTTTGGCAGTGATAAGGTAACACAAATTGACTGTAAAAATAACAAAATATGGCATCTCTGTGTATTGCTTATGATGCTTAAAATAACTCCTTTAGGAATCAATCTGAAGTTCTTCCAACTTTTCCAAAGTACAAAAATTCACTGAATAAAAAATTAATTCATCACTGTCAAACATTTTCATACTTGCATGAATTTTGGCCAAGTCGGATCCCAGAATCTGAATCTGGAGCTTACATGAAGTCCCACAGTTTGTAGTGCTTATCAAATAAATGGCCTTTACTAGTCTTTCTTGGTGAAAAAAATGTTTGCAGTTTTAATCCAAGAACCTGTAAAGCTGTAACGACGGTAGAATAGAACATCTTTCTGTCTTACAAAAGCCAATCTGAGGCTGTGCACAGGGAAACACAATAGTGAGAAAACAGGCTGAGCACTTTCCATGAGGGGATGGCTAGCTGTTAGGATATGGACCTCGGGCCATGACTGGAGAAGATTTTTTTGTTTTCTTTCTGTAGAGAGTGTGAAGTAAAGATGGGAACAAGAAATAAAACAATGCCCTAGGTAACAACAATGTGTCTTGTGTGTCTACAAACAAGTGATTTGGAGCTGGAATTCAGCTGCTAGTGCAAACATAGAGAGGAATCCACTTCCCTTATTCTTCTTACAAACAGCCAAATCCTCCTTTCACCTCTCAGTCTGAACATCTGAATTTTGCAAGATAAAATCCCTCAAGGGGATTAGGGGGAGTGCGTGTGGCTGTCTCTGTCAACGATCTAGTTTCACAAGCGCAGGGATGCACAAGAGCTTTCATCAAAAAGCTCTGTAGCAGACAAGGGATGCCTGAGTCTTCACTCCATGGCCACCAGGTAGGGTCGCAACTGATTCAATAACAATGCATGTAAAATACTTGAAAGTAGTTTTCTGATACATGATACATCTATCTCTTAGAGCATTTTTTCTAAACTTGTCATTGTACAATTTTGCCTGTGCAGATAACAAATGTCTCTTTATCATTTTGAGTAATGTAAAAGATTGTTGGGGGAGACATCACCTGGACATTAATCACCCACAGACAAAGCAGGAGCTGAGTAAGCATAGAAAGGCAGGTGTTTCAATCCTGCAGTCATAGGAGATGGCACTGCCAGCTGCATCAAGAGCAGAGTAATAACTGCCCTGTTGTATTTAAGTGGGGTCTCTCTCCTCCTGGAGTTTCACCTACACTTGCTCACACACCTGTGTTATGTAGCAGGGCATAGTAACGAGGGCTCTCCTCATCAGTCATTAAGGGGACTTGGAGATTCATGAGGAGAGGACAAACCCAGCTGACAGCAAGAAGCTGAGGTAGCTTCGTCTGGGGTCCCAGGAGTGTACAGGCCACCTTCTCAGTCATCTTACCCATAAGGTTGCCCTTTTTTTCTGTGATACAGGTATTTAAATATGTGTGCCCTTACTGGTTGGATTTTATGTGTGTGTGTATATATATATATAAATATCCTGACTCGCTAAGGCTTTTAATGTTTCACTTAGGGGCAAAAAACTATTCTGAGGAACCTTTTGTTTCATTTCTTAGCCAGAAACTGAAAACATTTGCTTCCAAAGTCATGGTAAAGTGATTTTTTTTTCTTTTCCAGATTTATTAATGCTCATCCCTTATTCACAGGCATCTGTTTAATCTGTCTAGCCAGCGAGCTAGCCCAAATCACATGCTGGCAGCTTTTATAAGGTTATCAGTTTTTTCAAAGAATTCATCTATAATGCATTTGACGCGTTGGTTGCGGATGTGTCAGTACTGTGAATGCTTGTGCTCTTTGTCTCGTGGAGCCTAGGGTAGGACAGCCATTTGTGTACATTTATAGCAACGTCTGATCTCTTAGATTGAATTAATAATTTAATAATATGTTTCATTTTAACTTGTACAAAAGGCTCCAGTATGAATCAAATATTTCCCCGATTGTTCTCATCTTCAAAAATTTGTCATCTGCACTAAGTAACATCTTTCCAGCAGAAACCAGCGTATCCTGAGAAATAGGGTGGAAGTTGGTGATCTCTGTTGATGTGATGAAGCTTCAGGTGTCTGAAGGCATGTGCTTGGAATTTCAATTCAGATTGGTAGGAGTCTAATTAAAGGAGCATCATGTCCTGCGATACCGGCTAATTTGGCGTAGCGGTCCTTTGAGTAGAGAAGTCATCTGTTGTGATTGTGGGGATTAAATTTCTATCCATCGAGAAATTAAAAAAGCTACTTAGATGTTGGAAGCGAGCAGAGATTGCTCAGACAGTACAATGGTGTATTGTGCAATTCAGTAAACTGAGACAAAAGACTAGATTTGCATCTCTGGATTTCAGGCGTGATATAAATGTTTAAATTGCATCTGGCAGAAGAAGGATTAAGTTAAAGCAGTGCTAAACCTTGCGTCACTGACTGCATTCTGATCAGTTTTCAAACAACAGAGGGGTACCTGTGCAGGAATCCGCACCAGTTTAACCAAATGCATTGGTAAATATATTTAGTAAAACCAATATGGTTTTGTATGTGGATCAGACCTGCAGCTGCTAAATGAATTACTTGAAAAAAAGATATTCCATAAGAAGTTGGTAGTGAAATTTCAGCGAGGCACATGTCTGGGTAGCAGATCTATATATCTTTTTATCAGTTCCCTTTGGCACTTCAAACTTATTTTTTTCTAAAGGAATGCAGTATAAAAGGCTGTTGCCTGGAACTTCCCATCTGAATGAACAGATTTTGCATGATAAAATAGATATCTATGCTAATAAATATGGAAATAGCAGTGGTTCCCTGTATGCATAATAAAGAAACAAAAGGCCTAGGCAAATTTAGTTATTGTGTATGTATTGTTGAGTGTTTAGGGAGTTGTGTTTGTTGTTTGTTTTTCTTCCTTTACCTTAAGGAAGTTCTGTGCCAAGTTGATTTTTGACACTGCTTGGTGCTGCTCTTGCATTTTGACCATCATGTGTAACAGTGAGCTCTGGGTTTTAAAACTGAACAGCGCCAGGTCAGTTAAGATGTCTACAGAACAATACACTTCTGAAATCCTGTTTTTAACAGGCATGGGAACAATTCTGTAAGTTTCATTAGGGAACTGAATCTTTATCCTACAGCTGCTGCAGATTTTTTTTTTTGTTGGGTATCTTTCCTTGTTTTAATAGGACAGTTTGTTTCACTTAACTGTGTTTTGCAGGTGGCAAGAAGTACAGTATGATAATCTTCTCAGGCAGGCTGTGAAGGTAGATCTATGCATATAGACTGCTTTTGAGGTTCTCGTGCATTAGTGGCTGTAATAACACAGATCTACAGTTAGAGCAAAAAGTGATTGTCACCTACAATTAGCAGGATGCTATTCCCAGTAAACATGAGGTATGAGCTGCTTTTAGACTAGTTGATAAACCAGGTGTTTTAAACAGTCTGCAAGTAATTGTAGACCGCTATTACGTTGACCCTGAGTTTCCTCTTCACCACATTAAACAAGCCCAACTGCCTCAGCCTTATAGGTGTAAAGTAAAAATTTCTCTTCTGCTTACCTCTGGCTTACATCTGACCTGCACTGCTTTCAGTTTTTCAGGGTTTGCACTGTGTGTATTTATAGAAACGTGATGTTTTTATTTTGAAAGTGAAAATGTTAGGAATAAACTATTGTGAATGATGATATATTCCATATAAAAATATGTTATCATGTATTTCTACCTCTGCTGGACTAACACAAATGTATTCAGAGAACGTGATTTCCTGGTTCAGTAAGCTCTGGTGCCCTCACTCCCTTCTGACAGAAGGGTTTGGGGAGAGGTCATGGTAGACACAAATGATGATGTTTTACTTTTGCTTGTTTTCTCACCACTGCTTTTCTTGTTTTGTAAGGCATCAGTAAATGAAGCTCTAAGCTTAGAGTTTTCAGATTACATCTTGCACAATATAAGTAAACCAGTATAATTTTCTAATCAGAAGGGTCTGAAATGTTCCATTAAAACTGAAAGATCTTTATTTGTCATAGTGGCTTTACAGTTTGTGACACGGTTATGAAATAGATGAAGCCAATAATAGAGTAATCTCAGTTAAAATACTGCTGTTAAGTTACCTCTGACAAGTGGTTGTCTATTTTTGTTTGGAATGATTCTTAAAGACACGCTCCCATACTTAGTGAAAAATACATTCTTAGTGAGGAAAACAGATTCACTTATCTCTAACTACTTTGTTTTTCCTTGTATAGATTCCACTGAAGCTTCATCCCTTGCCATAGAAAGGGAGACATAGCGGTTTGAAAATGATGGCAGTACAAAGCTTGTTCAGAAAGGTCAGTATATCTTTCTTGGTTATCTTCAGAAAGCCATTCTGCAGGGAATTTGGTAGGTAATCCTGGACTGGTTTTGACTGTAACGGTGGCATATCTCACTTGACACTTGGACAGTCATTTAACATGCCAAAGTCTTCAGAGTGGCGGGGCTGTGATGGAATCATAGAATGGTTTGGGTTGGAAGGGACATTAAAATAATATAATTCCAACCCTTTGCCATGGGCAGGGACACCTCCCACAAGATCAGGTTGCCCAACACCTCATCCAGCCTGGCCTTGGGCAGTGTCAGGGATGGGGCAGCCACAGCTTACACGGGCAGCCTGTTCCTCACAGAAGGGCAAAGACCCTTCCACCAAAATGTCGTGTTGACGCAACTGAGCGTGGAAGTATTTCACCAATATTTCTCCATCTTGTCCAGAAATATGTTGTTTAGGAGAATCTAAAAGAAAATAGTGTCTCTCTAGTAGCCCTGGGCTGGACGTTTGCATGGTTTACACAAGAGCCAAAAACGCTGTTTATTAGTGGAGTATACAACCCTGGCAACTCCTCTGCTGAATGTGGCAGGAATGATTCTTGCCCCTACGCTGTTTAATTACAAGAACAAAAGTCTGTTCCATGGCTTGTGAAAGGTGAGGGGTGGTGGAGACAAGGTCTTGAAAGAAACTGAGGATGAGAACAGCCACACTGTGCTCTGTGCACTTGTGAGTAAATAGAAGTAGCTGGCAATACCCACATCACCCATTGCTCTTACTTAGTCTTCTTTCATTCTGAGGAAACTTGGGTGTGACAACAGATGATACGGTTTGCTGCTACCAGAATGTTCAGTGGTTGACAATTTGTCCTGACTTTCGTAACACGGGGGAGGTGTCCTGCACGTATATGCTTGCAATCAGCTGCACGCGGTGTCCTCTTTGGTCTCCACGAAGCCTTTTCACAGTGCAGTATTGTTGCCCAAGATTCAAGGAATATCTTCTGCTGTCCTATGTGCAGAAAGTGGAGTAATTAGATAGAACTCACTTCCCTACTGGCTCTGGATGTTGAGTAACTGTGTTGAGAGTTAACGCACTGTGATCCATTGCTTAGTTTTGCACTAGAATAGAGCAACTCAAAGTTTTTATAAATGGGATTCTTGCAGATTGTACGTGTGATCCCATTTTCTGCCACTGAGGAGAAAAACCTGTGTTTCTTCTGTAGACAGTCAATGAGGACTACGTACTGCCATTCCACTGAGGGGGTGAAAAAGCAGCACTTTGCCTGTTACTCTGCATGGCTTTAAAATGATGCTCAAAGTCAAGACTAGACATGTATTTCTGATCAGATCAGTGCTTTTATACTTATACATTTTTCTTTATTTGAATTTCAGCTTTCCTCTCAGGAGTCAACATCCCTTTTCTTTGCATGGACTTCAGTTGTGAGGGGCAGAAAACAAGTGGATCTTCAAGATGAGAAAACATCATGAAGTATCATCTGATTGGAATCTGCATTCTAGAGTGCTTCTCCAGAAATCCCGCTATCCAGATGTTTCAAGGCTTTATAAGTTTAAGTTATGGAGTGAACAGAACAGTTTTATAGAGTGATTCTGGCCAATCTTCTTTGGCCTGCTCTCTTTATTTTATAAATAATATATATTTTTTATTCAAAATAGGTAAAAAGTATTGATGCGAGTGCATTTCCAAAGGCCTTTTCATTTTGCAAACATCAGGGACTTGAGTTCTCAAAATTCTTCCAAGCCATAATATTCTTGGGGATGGTATTTATATTGAGACTGATTCTCTAACCTTCTCTGACAAGTGGCATTTTCTAATATGCTTAAAGTTCTGAGTCAGTTCAACTCAATGAGAGACAGACTCATCTAGATTTGGCACTAAATTGATGGTTGGATATATGTTTGTTGAAAGACAAAGTGCTGAACATGTATATATACATGTGCAACTGTGTACAAAAACAAAATATTCACATTGCCAGTATCAAGATTCAAGAATATTGTGGCCATTGATGCTTTTTTTTTCTAGGAAAGTGTAATTACATTAGATTTTGAGTTACAGTGCCCTTTAAGCCCAATCCTACTTGCAGGTACCTAAAATGCAAATGGGTATTTTAGACATTACAATGTGCATTAATTACTAGGGCTAAAATGACAGAGTTTGCATGGTAATTAGAGCATTATCAACTCATTCCTGGATCAGTGTTTGATGGAAATTTTTTGTTCATGGAGTCAGAAAGGAAGAAAGGAAGAAGTAAATTTGAAACACAGGAGTTAGAAATGTGCACTGAATGTTTAGCTCCAACAGTAGCGTTTGGAGTTTACACTCCACAGCGGTGGTTTTAATCCCATAATGCTGAAGAGACATTTGGTAAACTCAATTATTTCAAACTTCTTCCTCAGTAAATGTATTGACTAGTATTTTAAAGGTGTTTCAGGACCAAGAGGTGATTTTTTTTTTATTATTATTATTATTTTTCCTCCATTGGCAGTCAAAGGAATGTATTGCTATTTTTACTCTGTGGAATAGAACTGAGAATTTGCTGGCAGGATGACACGCATTTTTCTAGATCCGAGATATTCTTTTATCTGCATGATTCAGACCTGGCAACTCCATCTCATGTTTGAATTAGGTGCATGTTTAATGTGTTAGTATACTGCATCTAAGATCATTTGTTAGTGTTTTCTATCCTGATTTTGTTTGTTCATCAGCCCATTTGTGTTGACTTTGACTACAGAAGCAGTTGTCAAGAGAAATTACCTGGTAAGTATCTGTTTGGTGACAAAGGCCTTGGCTACATTCTTGTCTTTTCTCCTCTATTTACTCTGCCGCTGTTACCAGCGGAAATGTGTTAGTGAGATGGAAGAGACTCTTGCAGATATTTTTGTCCATAAGAGTAGTTTAACTACCTGGTATAAACTGTGCCCTTTGGACAGATATTTTATACATCAGACTTTATACTTAGGTGTAGAAGAGGCAGTAGACTCTATAGAATGTGTTGTTATTGCTGAAGCTGAGGTCTTGGGAATTGGGGCGGGTTCTCCCAGTCGCAGTGTGGGTTACTCTGCTTCCTCCTCTGGCTGTTACCGAAGGCTCTGTGAATGTTACCACTTCTGGTGGGTGGCTCTCATCAGACAGCTGTCAACCAACAAAACTCTTTTTCCTATTAAATCTAAACCTTCATTTCTAATAGAAATCCTGTGCTGGACCTTAAGGTGTCAAAGGTGGCAATAGAATTGGTCACTTCTTGGCTGACAAAATGTATTCTAGAGGGGAAGGTAGTAGTTAAACAGAGCAGGAAATATATAGGAATTTAGCCCTATTACTTGTGTATTTGTGCCTTTAAACCACTAAATTCCTCGTTTATATAAGCAGGAGGATAAATCACTAACTCTACTTTCCATCCTGTCAACTGAAATGTGTTTTTTAAGACAGGAACATCAAAGCTGCATTTGAAGCCAAGTGGATTTACAAGAGTTTCTGAGCGGGTTCTTGTGTCCATTCTGCATTTGGTTCTGTTCACAGCCGTGCCATCCTTGCAGGGTTGTTTCTCTGCCAAACAGCAGCAGAAGAGCTGCCTAGAAGATCTGCAGGCAGATCCCCTGCCTGCTGTCTAGCTTCAGCTTTGTTCCTTAGCCAGTAAAATCTATTTTGTCTTCTAATTATTATTAAAACAGCTGTCTTTATGATAATGCAGCTTCCCAGCTCAGACTTAGAAGCAGCTTTAAAAGGTTTCCAGGTGCTTAAATGATGCTTTGACACCTTTCGTTAACATACTCATATTAAGTAATTTTTCTTGTGGTTAGTAATGGCACATTTTCCTTTTCTTAAAAGCTGCTCAACCTCGCTTAGCTAGAACAAACTCTTGTGCAGGTGGAAATGAAAAATAATTTGATAGCTGCAGAGCCATAAGTCAACATTCACACCCATCAGATTTTGAAAGCTTCAGAGTGAAACATGAAACAAATACTGAAGCGGACAAATCCTGGTGTGTCTGGGTGACTGAACAAACTCCATTTTGTTCTATTCTGCTGAGCTGGAGGAGATGCCCTTCCTACAGCCCAGTATTTGGACTGTGTATGCTGAACTCAAGCGCAGCAGAATAGTTGGGCAGGTTCCTCTGCCTCCCTGGGTTAAAGCCGAGTGCAGAAAGCTGCCGTGCAGGTAATGGTGCCCAGGAATGGAGTCTGGGGGGTGGCTGCTGAAGCCACAGTGAGCCTCTGTTCTTCAGGGCAGCCTGTCAGTGAGCAGCTGGGTCTCCCTGGGGAAGCTTGGTGTTCCTCCACATACTGCTGCTGAGATCCTTCTGCTCAGTGCATTAGTGCAGCTGATGCTTCAGACATCATTCCTGATGACCTACTAAGGGGAACACAGTGCTTTCAGCTGGCACTTCTGGCCTTTAAGAAGACTGTTAACTAGAGAGCAGGGCAGCATAAAAGCAGTCATTTTCATTGCACCCCCTGCTACCTATGGCTGGGCTCCTGTTTACTTTTTAAATTGGCTTTTTGTTTGCTTAGCTTCTAAAAGAAAATTGTATACAAAGAATGTGGTAAATGCAGGATGCATGAGGTTCTGTCAAATATACCGGGTAAATGCACTGGAACACAAATTGCTCAGGCTGCCTGTAATCACTGCTGCAGGTAACAAAACAGGTAAAGTATTCAGCTGAGTGCAATTTAGATTTTTTAACATGCAAATAAAATTTTACCCCTTTAAGGGGTAAAATCCACTGGTGCAGTCTGCAGGGTAGATATCCCTGTTCTCTGAGGATAATGCTCCAAAATAATTTCCCACTAACAGCCCCCTCCTCACCTCTCCCCGTCTCGCCCGTTTACATGCAGGTACAGTTCCTTTAGAGCAGACATCACATTGATGTCTCTGTGGATTGTATTGCGCTAAGTCCTGTCCCTGGCCAGTGAACATTGTCCAAGGAATCAGGACTTTAATAAGCATCACTGCACTGCAATTTATTTTTTTTTTCTCTTGCTGAATTGGTACTGTGTGGTTTTGGAGTAGAGTAAGATTGTATTCCTTTAAGCAAGGAGCAGTACTGTGTTTTCATAGGCCTGTACTAGTGCATGTAGTGTGCTGTAGCTGATGGAGGCCAGGAAGCTTTTTAATAGCACTGTAGCAATGAATGTTTACTTCCTGGAACAAACCAGAGATGTGATTCAGCAAAATCCATAACTGTAGGTTTTATATTCTGTATGCTGGTGTGGACTGAAAGCACAATTTAGTAGTTGTTACAAAACTCGATGCATAAAGTCTGTAACATAGTATGAATGTAAAGCGTCTGGGAAAATAGAACTTAACCTTTTCTTCCCTGTAGTTAGATGTAGAGGAAGATGTGTGGGGATGTATTCAGGGACCAGCTGCCTCCAACGTAGTCGCTAAGCCAGCAGAACAGATTTGCTGTTTGCATAGCTGGCTCATTCCTGAACGTGTTGAATTAGCAGGCTAAGGAGGTGCTGTTGACCTTGTTTATTAAGCCAGAATTAATTAACTTGGAGTCACATTTTCATTTCAGTGACTCTCCTGGTACAAATTTTTGAAATCGATCCATAGGACTTGAACATACCTGGATTTTATTGATATTTTTCCAATTCTATCAGCTTCTGTGTTGTTATAGAACGCGTGTAAAAATAAACTTGTTCTGAAGCCATCAATTAAAGCGTATTCATGGTAGGGTGGCTTCTGTCATTAAAAGTAATGGTCTGTCAAACAGTTTGGCAGTGATGAGCATTTCCAGGTTGTGGCATTATTATGTATTCTTCCTGCTTAATGCATTAGTTCCTGTTCTGGTAATTAACACTGAGACCATACCCACTGTCGCAGTTTTATTCTTAACTGTCCTTTTTCCCTCTCCCTTTACGCTCTTCCTCCCGAACGCGTAGCTCCAATGTATCAGCTTTCAGCTGTTTGTGCTGTTTTCTTTGGATACTAACAAGACGAGTAGGTGTCATTTTAAACAGTTGGGCCATGTATTTTGTTTGTAATCAATCTTAATGTTTGTCAGGTTTCGCTTGGTGATTTTTATCGTTCGGGTTCAGCTTGCTTTGCTCAGGGCAGTGGGATCCACCTTTCTGCATTGCTTTTCTCTTTCCTATAAATCTTAATTCTTCATGTTCTAGCTTCAGTTTGAAATGTAAACCTTGTGAAGTACAACGTAAGTTTACTTTTCTGATGTGAGCATATAAGCTGGTTACGCCTTCGTGCTGCTTGATTTATTTTTTTCTGTATAAGGTTAAGATTTACAGCAGCATGTGTAAAGCTTCAATGGATAACAGCTACTGTTCAGGAAAAAAAAAAAAAAAAAGGTTTGTGTTAAGGAAAAAAGGTACAAGGGGATTATCCTTGCTGCTTATTCCAATTGTGCTTAAAAAAAAAAACAACAAAGAAACCTGATTGCATCAAACACTAATATCAAACAGCTTATGTAACACAAAGGTGTTTTACCTGATGGAATTTCTGCTATTTCAGTACTCAGTAGACTTAAACTTTTTGTTGGGGCTAAATCCCATGGGAAGCCTGGAGAGAGGAGAAAAAAAAAAAGCTTTGTCCTCCCCATCTCCGTTCTGCATTAGGGTTGTGTGTGCTGCACCTCCTCAGATCGCCATTTTCCTAAGTTTATAAGAGACACAAAAATCCAGTGGATTCTTGAAAACGTTGTTTTGTTTTATTTGTTGTGCCTGTTCCTGGAGGATCCAGGATGTGTACAAGCAGGAGGTTTTGGTGTAGGCACGTGGCATCCTGCTGATGTAACAAACCCGAGCGGGTGCAGACGTGGCTTCCACGAGGAGGAGATAAGATATTATTTCTGACTCAGAGATTGTGTGAAGAGGTAGGTGGAACGTGTGGTGCTGTTCTGAATTAACTCCGTGTGCAGGCATTATTTTGCAATAATTACATTAATGTGTAACTTTTGTTGTGCTCACTGATCATCTAGACTCGAGCTATCCCCAGTAATTCCAGATTGCATTGTTAGGAGCCAGGAGCTTCTATTGCGGCTTCCCTCTTGCTAGTGACATAAACAGAAAAGATCAGGTTGCTCTAAATTATTCTACCTGTCCAGCTGCTTTTCAGCTGAGAATCAGGCTGGTTTTGGATTAGGAAGCTCCATTTGGGAGCCGATACACTCTCTCTACAACTGGGTCAGAACTTTGACTGTAAACCACTGTAGTATAAAAAGCTTCTCATATCAAGGCAGACTGGCTTAGTGGGCTCTGTGCCAATAACTACTAAATTATTCAAAATAGTAAAATCAATTTCATTTATTATTATATTCAGTTGTGTTTCAGGAAACCAGGATGGCCTGGTGTTGGTATTTATAAACATCTTGAGTCTGCAAACTTTGCATACAGTCAACACTATTCTGCTTGGCAGAGGACATGACACCCAGTGTTGGGTTGTTTAATACTGATTTCTTATCCCTTATTTAATAGGAAGGAAATGTTTTCCAGGGAACATTGCAAACGGTCCACTGACAACATGTGGGATGTTTAGTAGGGTTCAGGAGTTAAATGCTGTTGCCAGCATTGAGACTTTTGATATCAAATGGGTTTTTACAAAAGCTTTGGATACTTGTTTTTATCGTCTGACAAACATTGTCTTTAATATGAATGCTTTGTGTATGTTTCACTAGCATTTTCCGAGTGTTTGTATGGTTTCTACAGCTGGATATACTGTACATTCTGCTTTGTCATTTTCTATTATGGTTTATACTAGAAAGCCTGCACAGTTTATACTGTACTGCAGGCAAGGACTGCATTAAAACCATTTTTGGTTAATTTATTATACTTGTGAGTGATTATTTCCTACGACTTAACCCATGACGAGGGAAAATACTCTTTCTGGAAGCCTTACAGAACTTGAATTAATCGGAATTACTGTATAGAGTGGGGAAGGTTCTTCATCTGTACCAAAAAAATAGGTTAATTAAATCCTGCCCCCTTGTCTTACAAGGCATTGGTTGGAGCAGCCCAGGCCTTACATTCCAGCCCTTTGACAAAGAGGTAACAAGCCTGTGATGACATTGTGTAATCCTGCACTTTTTAGAATATTTAAAAAGTAATAACGGACTACATTGTCTATGTTAATTTTCCAAAAGTTAGAGTAAGGTAAGATACGAGCGAGTTTGCATATCGTGCACTTACCGGCACACGTGAAAGAAAGCGAGTATTTGGTCGTAGATTTACGCCTGGTCTGATTCAGACAATCCCTGCACCGGCTGTTTTGGAAGGGTGCAAATTAATGAGGACCAGTGTTTGTCTTTTGACTTTAAGCCCTGTTGCTTTGTGAACAGAGCTAGAATTTGAGCCCAGCTTTTTGCCATTTCCTTTTCTTTACAATGGTCGGTGATACTGATTCATCCACGGAAGTTTTAAGAGGCAAAACTCAACCACGTTGTGAGCAGAATTTGTGTGGACAGCACTTCTCCCATTCTCAATTCCCAGCCCATCAGGGCACATACACTACAACAGGAAGATTCTTTCTTCAATACCATGGATCAAGATAACTGCAGATGTTCTACCATTTGAAAACAATCTATTTAGAGCAAAATTCAGAGTTATATCTTTAGTTCTTGGCCACCATCCCAAGACTGAAAATTGTGCCAGGAATGCAGTGTGGCTGCTACCGAGTGCACCTGTTGTACTGGAATTAATAAGAGTGGCTGTGCTGCCTAACCTGGAGCGATGTCAACGTCAGCACTAGAAATGAAGGACACACCTTCATGATTTAGTTGTTTTATTTTGCTTTTGCAAGCAGCCACAAAACAGGCTATGGAAGAATAAATAAATTAAAGCAGAGAGTGCAGCAGTTTATACGAGTACAACATGAAGATGCTCGACTTTGCAATGATTCAGAGTGCTTTGTTACTGCGCTTGGTTCAGTGTTCAAGCAGTAACCAACCAGAAGCAATCTAGGTCAAGTATTTCCCCCTTTGGCCAAAAAAGATTTTTTAAACATGCCCTCAACCAACTCTGCTACAAATAATAATAAAATGTAGAAAAAACCTCGTTTGTACTATCATACAGTCACATCGCCTTGTTCCAAGTGCGTCAGTCCGTTCCAAAATACTTCTGTCCAAAGTGTGTTGGCGCAACAGGATGAACTTCTGTAGTTAAAATTGTGATCTCTGGGAATTCCTGGATGATCGATTTGGCACCTTTGGGGAGAGAGAAGAGAAATCAAAGAAATCAATGCCTGCACTGCAGCCTGTATTTCAGCGCCTCGTGTTACATCAAGGTAAGCAGAATTCTGCAGCTGAGTCTGCCTCTGTTCTTATGCCTCATTTCTGGCTTATCTGCTTGCATGTGAGGAAAAAATTCCAGAATTCCACATTGTTCTTCTGGGTTTTCTTACTGGGATTTTTCATTTCTTCACCATACATTTAACTTCCCAAACTAAACTATTCACTAATCCAATTATTATTTTGGTTACAGACTGCCAGGAATAACTCTCTGCACCATGGTCGATTTTTTGATAGTGATTTCGGCCATGGCCAATTTCAAAATAAAAACGCAAGATCCATTTTCCTACTTAGAGAAACAGATATTCCTTTTTAGGGTCATCTTTTAAATTAAAAGATCTTTAATGTGCAGACAGTCCAGTTCTGTAGCTCATTTTACATCATGCTTTCTGTACAACTGGTGTTAGTTGGTGGCTGACCAACTCAGCATGGGCTGCTGTGCTCTGGAGCAACAGGAAGACTTAGGGTCGTTGCAGCATTTTCTTTACCTATTCCTGCTGACAAGAATGCTTCACCAGTTGCAGTTTTGCCGTGAGGGGTAACAGGCCCTTTTTGTTCTGCTAGCCTTCTCCCCTGCCCATGCCACATGTGCCAGTGTTCGCTCTCAGTTTCAAAATTCATAGAGGAAAATAAATCCTTTCTGAGCAGAGTGCTGCTGGTGTCCTTATTCGCAAGGGAAGCGCTCTTGGCAGCTGCCTGGAGTGCGGGACTGCCGGAAGCCTTCCCCGCTGGGTGGCAGAGGCACGAGCACCTCTGCCTCCCTGCACAGCCCCGCCACTTACCGTGCGGTGTGGAGAATAGGCTTAGCAGGATAATGACACTTGGTTGCACGCCGTGTTCTATAAGAACTTTGACAGCCTCGATTACAGTATTACCAGTACCTATAAGGGGAAAAAGTGAGATTTTTGTTTTCCTGCTGAAGAACTCATTCCTAAGCCAGCCGGGGCTATACCTGCACCAATCCTGGTGTGGGGCTGAGCGACAATACTGTCCTGTTCCACTGGTCGACTGTCACCTCTGCAAGCATTAATTATTGAAAATTTTTGTCTCCTGATGAAGGAATTTAATCTTTACACCCAAATAGCCGACTGCCAGGTTTTAAACACTGAAGTCAGTGGATTTTATTAAAGCCCTAAGGCAAGAAAACTCATCTAAAATAATAAGTTAGCAATTAAGAGCTCCATGTGCAGAACCAGAATTACATCTTAGACTGGAAAATTTCCTTCATCCTGACAAAGTCCTTACCACATTGATATATTTTGTGGTTTTAATTGCATTTAACTTTAAAATAATTTACTTTAGAATTATTCCTCAAAAAGTCTTTTAATAGTGAAAATACTATTTGAAGTCTTTTTTTTTTTTTTTTAAATTTGCCATCAGACTTGAACGCAGCTGCCTTTCTCACAAGTGCAGCCAAACCCAAGTGATCTGCTCTGTGTTCACACTGATGTGGGCTGACTGATGTATGTTCTGGAGCAGCCTGATCAAGTCCCTGCTACGTCACCTAAATCAAGCCAAAATCTAACAAAAACCCCGGAAATTCAGAAGCTTTAATTTAAATACAGAACAGTCACCGGAAATAATAGAGACACTTACTTAGTATTGGGTACATAAGAAGAACTTTTCTCCTGTAAATGTCTGGGGGAAACTTAGCATAGTATACTTTTGCTCTTTGAGTCTCCTCATCACTCTGTATCAGGATTTTTCCTATGCGGATCGATCTACAGCAATCCCGTAAACCTTGTTCCATTGCTTCGCCTCAAAATGAGCAGAAGAAAAAAATATTAAGTGATAACAAAGGGCACAACAACAAGACGTTACAATCAAATGGACTGTCCAAATACTGTGTTGACGAATAGTTCTTGAACAGAGCTTTTTTTTTTCTTGCTTTCAAGTTTTAAAAAGACCTTAAGCTATTTTCCTTATCTCTGTTTAGACAGAAAAACAAGCCTACTCTGTGTCATTTGGCTCCCAGGTATTTGTGTTCCCATGTTCTAGTGCTAAGCACGTTTTCAAAGGAGAGAAGTAGAAATATCAAAACAAGTAATGTCATAATTCATATGTGGTTTGAAAAACAACTCTGAGCTCTGCATAGCCACACCATGGTAAAAAACATAGTACAGGAACCTGCAGAGCCACTGGATTTTGTATCATAAAAAGCTTTACATAGTTTTGGACAAAAGAGTGCTGCCTCTAGCACCACCGAGCATGGTTTATTTGGAGAGATACCTTTGAGGAGGAAAAACTAGTGGCAAACAAGGAAGGAAAGTTGGCCTGGCCTCTCAGAGCTGTTGGTTATTAAAGAAGAGGTCAGATGAAGTCTGCTGCTGCTATTTGTCTGCTGAAATGTTGAAGAAACTTATTACTTGCTATTCTTCTTTAGGTATCCTTGATTACAGAATGTCAGCTACAGTCTGGGGGGAAACCTTTGCTGTAGGGCAGTTTGTTGCACGTTTTCAGAGGGAAGCTGGTTACTGGTTTCAAAAGCATTGAATTCACACCCATTCAACAACCAAAAGCTGCCTACCGCTTCTCATTATGCTGACTCCGCAGTTTCCCTTTTCAAATTTCACTCCTTCATACTTGTATCCTAAAAAAGGAAAGAAACCAAGGCTCAGCAGCAGTGATTGCTTCCCTCTGCCCCATCCTGTCTTAAGTGACCCTGGTGTGAAGAGAAACGAGATTCCCCCGCACAGGGACTGGTGCTGAGCTCCATGTGTCTCAGCAGGTGGCGTGGCCCCACCTGCACGCCACATCCTGCACTCCCCAAACAAGCCATGGGAACGGGACCAGAACCATGAAGGAATTTACTCCTAACGGTTACTTCAGGAGAGCAGCACAGGCATGATCCTGCCTGTAGGTTTTATAACTCAAACATTCGGGTGATTATTTTAGATGAAGGATGTTATCCAAAATAAAGGTAAATGGTACGTGCCCTAAGTAACCATGTAAATGCACTCCAGAGCTGCAGGTGAAGAGGCAGAGCCAGAGCATGACGCTACTCTAATTGCGCTCCTGATCGCTGAAGGACAGAAGTGGGTGAGGGTATGTGTTTGGAAGAGATCGCCAGCACTGCGAGCTCAAGTTCATGGATTTGAAGGCAGCCAAGCAAGGTAAGCCCACTTGTAGCTCTTCAGATCCAACCTGAACTTGCCCAGTACCACTGCAGAGAGGAACATGTGGCAGTGGTTTTTTGGGTTTTGCATATTCTGCCTGGCTGAAAAAGGTCCAAAGGCTCCTTTTAAAGGAGAGACGACATTGCATTGCATTGCTGGCCTCGAGGGATGTTCTGCTTCTGAAGGAGTACAAATTGTCTGTGCTGACAGCAGCTTCCAGATGCTCAGAGGGAAAGAGTTCAGTATAAATAAGCAACGATTCATAGGTACGTGTCTGTGTTCTCAGGGCACGCTTCCTGTTGGATGGGCGCACCTGAGGCCATTTTAGCTCCCTCCTTGGGCAGGGGTAAGGGTGAAAGGGCTGATGCTCTGATGGCAGGGCTGGCAGTGACAGCAGCCTGTGCACCACAGCAACGTGTGCCCAGAGGGGCAGGCCCAAGGCACTCATTCCCCACAGGCAGACGAGTGGCTCACTGAGAAACACCTGCAGAGCTTCGGGAGGGGACCTCCCGAAGCTGGGGACCTGCCAGACAAACTGGGTAACGCAGACAGCCGACAGCCATCAAACTGCCCGACTAACCTGGGACTGACGTGAAGCCAGGCCTCACGAAGCAGCTGCTGTTTTAGTTAAAAGCGAGCCAAGGTAAGTGACTGTGGCGCCTGAGCGCCTTCCTAAACTCCAGCTAGCTTCAGCACCAAGTGTTTTCGGGCCATCTTTTCTGTGACTATAAGTAGGGTGAAGACATACAGATGATTTATGGTGAAGGGCAGAGGGGTAGAGTGAATGAGAGGATGTACAGAGCTGCTCTCAGGCTGCAGAAAATGCCAGCAAAATCCCCAAGGGGAGGAGGACTCAGCTGGTGCCTGTCCTGCAGGGGTACTGCAGGTGCCCTGGGTGTGCTTGAGGCTCCCCAGACGTGGCTGATGCACTGAGCAGCAACTACGCTACCTCTGAGTAACCCATGCGACCTTACGTATCTTTTAAGGTTAATAGGAGCAAACCCAAAGTACTGCAGTGGGTTTCCTCTAACGTCAACACAGCCACTTTTTATTTCCTGCTTACCATCACTCACGGTTGCAACAGAGGCAGATTTATGCTGGCATGACAAAACTCCTTGTGCTGAGCACTTTTTTCTGTAACGGGCACATGAAATGTCATCAGTTTTAATTCGATGGTGTGATAGGGGCAAGTAAGGTGATCTCGCACGTACACTGCTAATGTTTTTATCACAGTTTTGCAAGACCAATTTAAAACCATAGTAAGGTAACAGCTCTATGACTGTTCTGCTCAGTCCTGTCATCACACATCTTCTAGCTTTTTTTTTTAAATACCTTGAGGGGACCTTAACTTTATACTCTAACCTGAATGTTAAGCTGTTCCAGCCTCTTGTAACAAACAGTTCCACATTGTTATATTAATTCAGCTTCCACTCCCAGTCCAACCTGGCCGAGTGGTTTCCCACGTACCTGTTGGAGTGGTCACCGTGCATTCTGTGTACGGCAGTTGGTTCAGTCCCTCTTCAACCACAAGTCTGATCTGTAGAACCAGAGAAAGGGGTTTGTTATTGAGCCAGGTAAGATACTAAATGTTAGGAGTTTCTGCAAGTACTAGGTGAACACCTAACACCCAAGAATATCCTCTTTTACTAGTAGTTAGGGATAGACTTTAAAGGCCTTTTATAGGGCAATGTGTATGTTTTGTCCACATGACAAATGAAGGCATTAAAAAACAGAACGGGTTACATCTATAAATGCCTTCGTAAAACTGGCTTAAGTTCTGTCTGGCAGATAAAGCCATCAGAGACAAATGTTTCTCATAAGTAAGTGAACCACCCATGTTAACTTCATGTTGCTGACAGAAAATATCAGTGAGAAAAGAGAAAAACTCCCCTTCTTTCAGTTCCCCATCAGCTAGGCCCTAAGGCCTGTTTTAACATCCATATTTCTAAGAAGAAGCTGCAGCAGGGCTGCCCAAACAGCTGCAGGAGCTGCAGCGCTGTAAGCACACTACCGAGTGCCCAAGGACGTGTCAGGGGATTTACAACTCTCTTTATCACCCCCTTCCTCTGGCACCTGGCAGCTCTGATTGCTCCACACGCTCTGCTCAGCCCCTGCGTGTTCACAGGGTGCAGACAGTCCAGCCGCAGTGGGGACATCCTGGAGGTGTGGCTGGCATGTCACACGTCCCTCCGGAGGGCAGGAAACCTGTGCTGTACCCCAGGCGAAGGTACGAAATGCGTTCATCTCAGCCCAGCATGACTGCCCAGGACAGATGCTCTGGGTGTTGCAGATAGACAGAATTCTCTCTGCTGGTGAGCCAAAGAGTCAAAGGCCAGGACTGCTCAAGGAAAGTTACCGCCAAGCCAAGATGAAACCTATTAAGCAAAAGTCACTGTGTAACAGCAGAAATGAGGTGACTGCTCCTGGGACTGAGCTCGCTTCAGACACTCCAGAAGCAGGGCAGGCTGGAAAGTTTTTCTGTTCCTCCATCCTGCCCCAGTTCCTAGCACGCACAGACTGCGTTAGGAGTTAGTGAACTAAACGTCCCTCTTTGATGAGGTTTTGGGAGGAGGGAGTGAGCTAACAATGTTAAGTTCTAGCAGGCCTAGTTAAACTGTCACGGCTCGCAGACTTCTGCTGAAGCTTTAGGTTATGCATTTAATGCTGATACGCAAAATTACATAGTCCATGTGCTCATTTATTACAGTTACATGCTTAAGGTTGCCCCTGCAGTAAGCAAGGGAAATGCTGTTTGCTTTGCACCTTCAGTAGCACGAGGTGTGTTAGAACTGCTGGGAAAAGCCACAGCTAATATGAGTCTGAGCAGCTGTAGCTAACTACCACGGAAGTGCTTTGAGGATGTTAAGATGTTGGTAACCCTACCCTTTCTCAGCCAGTTAAGCACATGGATCAAGTCTCCTTGCCACTCTCAGATACCACTGAAGAAATCAGGCTGGACCAGTCCTTCAGGGTCCATGAACAGAGCAATCAGGATAGAGACACCTGGAGAAAGCAGCTGCCAGCACTCCCGTTTACAGGAGGTGTAATCACTAACTCGGGAAAACAGAGTTTTTTTTAAAAAAACTCACACCAACGAACTAGAATGTAAATAAATTAAAAATGAATTTTTAAAGAATCACTTGGACTAGATGATCTTTGAAAGTCCCTTCCAACTTTTCTAGTCTAAATTCCAGAGTGACCGACATTATCTTCACCCTACTTGTCGGCTGAGGCCGCAGGGCAGTGCTGTGGAGATGACAAACCCCTGCCTGAGCCCAGGCTGCAAGGCAACTGTGCTGAGTCCTTGCCCAGACTCGAGGCACGCGCTGCCTGACGTCTCTCTGGGACATGTCCCCTCTTCCCGTCACTCACCTGGGCTCTGGGCCCCCAACAAGCTGCTGTGGCACCCACCCGGCTGTGTGCAGCTTGACTGAACCCAGTTTATCCAGTACTGCCTACAAGTGGGATGCCCTAAAATACTTCTCAGGCTGTCTCAGTACGAATGCTGGGGCTTGGTGAGCTCCTCACTAATTCCACAGAGGAGCTGCAGGGTGCCATCCCTGGAAGTCTCCTTTCACATGCAGGGCAGCACATGCACGAGGGCTCACCCTCAACCTTTTGCAGAGTTCTCTGCTGGGGGCTCTCAGCTTGCTCTCCCTAGCCCCTTCTGCTCCAGCTGTTCAGATATCTACCACGAGTTGTAACGATCGATCCTTTCTTGTGCTAGAGGCTTACTTGCCACGCCTGCCTCCTCTCCTTCCCAGACACAAGATGGTTTGTCACCTTATTCATGATTTCAGCCCCCCATCTTGCAGCTGCAGGACCACACCATCAGCAGTCGCTTTCAGGAACTTTCTGCTAACCTTTACCATCCCTTAACTCCTTTCTTCCACAAATATCTTTGAACATTTATTTTATCATCTCTTTCTGTGAGAAACAAGCTGTCAGATGGAAAAACTGTACCACTATCAATTCATCAAACCCCTCCTTGAACCCTCTTCCTATTGTGACCTTACGAGATATTTGCCCCTAGTAACTGCCAAACTAGTAGCAAGCTTCACTCCTAGTCTCATTTTCTCTCTGCAACGAGGTTTTGCTACTCTACAACACTTGAGTTTCTTGTTTTCTGCATTTGTTTGCTTTCAGACTGCATCTTGTCATTAATCAGCTGTCTGCTAGTCAGATGAAAAACACACAGCAAGTCTTAACAATGTTTGTACATCTACTGGAGCCCACGTCCCACGTGCAACTGTGATACCACACAGAAAATGGGGCAGTCACACACTTTCTCATAATATTCCTCTCACAAAATGAAAAGCAGACCAGCAGACCACCTCCAAACAGAGTGAGAAGGTAGGTGGGGGAGGCCGTCACACTAATTAATGGTGATAAAGTGCAGCTGGGAGCCCGTAAGGGTTCTCCTGTCTGTGACAGAATAGCCATTATTTATCTCACTTTTAAAGTACAGAACAGGAACCTTTATTGCTTCGCTTTAGTTTGAGGAAGTTGATCGGAAGGAATGGTCCTGAGAAGATGGGAAGCTGCTACAAGGTAGAACAAGAATATTAACCAGAGAGGAGTGCTGGTGGGGAAGGGGCCTGACTCTGGACTGGAGACCTGCACCCTGTAAGTATGCGGGGTTGCTGACATTGGCTCTCTGAATCTCATCTACACATTTAAGCACGTGAAAAGCTGAAACCACCAAAAATAAAAAAATAAAAAAAAGGAAGACTGACCCACAGCTGAGCTGGTTTAGCACAGGCTGTGGATGCTTCCTGTGCTGTTCCCACTTGTCCAGCGCTGTGAAGGACGTTACGTCTGCTGAGAACTGCTGGCACAGAAAGAAGGGGGGACTGTGGCTTTCTGCCTGTCCCTGACAAAGGCAAAGAGGGACACTGCAGTCAGAAACTTGACCCAATAGTTACAGGGATGAGTTTTGTTGGCTCAGGCTTTCACTGATCCTGGAGAATGGAAGAAGCAGAAACATTCTCAGGAAGGGAAAAGCAGCGGGGAAAGTGGAACAAGCTGCAGAGATAAAAAGCACTGCAGTCACACATCAGGTCGGGGTCATATGTAAGCCCTGAGCAAGCCTGCATCAGGCATGGGTTAACACTGGGCTCATCACAGGAAACCTGGCTGGTTTAGCAAATAGTGCCGCTGACTGAGTGCTCTCTGGACTGATCTTTGTTAGAGGGAGAAGGAAAGGCTTTCCTCAGTAAGGAATCTGGAGTCGCAAATAGGAAACACCCTCTTGAATACAAGGGCGTATCCAGTACATGTGTGGTAGCAAGTGTTGTGGGCTTCTGTAAGCATTTAATTTATGTGAGATAACTGCTGCATTCCCACCAGCCTTTGTCCCTGACTTACCAGGATGTGTGAAAGTTTCTAATTGCTTTGTCCCTGCTAGCAGCTACCCCATGGTTAAAGGCCCATTCCCTGGGTGGAAGCACCCAGAGCTGCTCATCTACCACGCAGTAAGTGTCGGGAGGTGCTCTGCACGCAATCAGTGGTTGACATCTAGACTGTAAGAAATTGTTGACAAGATGGAAAGTACTGTTTCAAACTAACACTAAATTATCTCTGTGCATCTGTTTTTAAATCGTGTTCTCATGTTGCTACTTCTCACTGTACTGAAGTATTTGACAGTAACTTAGTTTCTGGAACCCTTTGAGATGAAAACACTGTAACAAAGAACAGAATCCCAGTACAGAAAGTTGCTGTCAAACAGCAATTTCCTTTGTTTAGAAAAGTTGCCCTCACGCTAACATTATTGTAGCTCATAAGACCATTTTATAACAGAATTACACAGCACGACACCAAGAAGAAGAAATTCTTCACCTACCAGGCGATCGGCAGAAAATACGAAGTCTCCTCTACTGGCTGTCCTGAAAAAGGTAACAATTTCTATTTTAAATTGGGGAATAATTAAGAACATTGCTTAAATATAATGTTATTCAAAGGACAATATTTTCCAGAGGTGGTTTGGAGAAAGGTCTCCTGCCACGTTCCAACTTTATCCCCCAGAGATCCTACCGCGTGTTTCGTACCAGCTGAGGAAGCCTGAGCTGCAGTGAGCTCGCGCGGGGCTCTGCCTCGTACCACTGGCCACGTCGCTGCACTGCTCACTTCCAGAACACCTCAGCAGCTCTGAGCTGTGCCAGCCTGGTGGGTTCTCTGCAGCTGTAAGCAGGAGAGCTTTGCTTTGCCTGTTCTCAAACCAGTCGGAGCCCAGGACAGTGATGAAGCAGATCCCAGGCGCTGAGGCTGACCCAGTGCACCTGACAAGCAGGGTCTCCTATCTCATCAGGAATTCACTCACAGCGTGGTAAGCCTGGTGAGCCTCAGCCTAAAAATGAGCAGGGACAAGCAAGCAGTGCTACGCAAACCCCTCTCTCCTGGCTTAGTGGCTTAGGTGGAACTTTTTACTACCACGACTGCTGGCCCATCCAGCAGGCAGGAAGGGCAGGCTCGCCTCTCCCTGCTCCTTGCTGTGCAAACACGCCACGGGGACGGCTGCTGTCAGAAAGCCAGGTTGGAACAGCTGGCTTCCCGGGTCAAGACCAACTCTCACCACACAGCACCAGGACAAGCTTCCAACTAAGGAGACAACATTTCCAGTACGTTAGCCTTAAAAATCCTCAGACAAGGAATCACCATCGCAGGCAGGTCGCTTTTAGTGACACTTTCTGGTAATCACACTAGGCCTACCCCTCTCTCATCTCCAAGCTATGATACTCTGGATGTCTCTTGAAATGCCACGGATAGTTTTGCACTTAATCTCCAGGGTTCTGCAACATCTTCCGTTTACAAGAGTGGCAGTCAGGATGTTTGTCTGCCGACTCCCCGTACTGCTAGTACAACCTTGCCACATTAAGAAAATGAGGTTTTAAAAGACTGGCAGCCTAATCTGATTTCTTTCCTTGTGCTAACACCACTGGTATTTGTTATTCAAAATGCTGTTTGTTTTTTGCTCTTTCTAGCAATGACAGGATACTCTTAGTGCTCTGCTACTTTGATGTTCATCAGAAAACCAGAACTGAAGAAAGCCCCATCAAATACCCAAGAAACAAGCTTGCAATCACACAACCTGATTTTGCTGAGATTTTTAAAGGGATTCATACTCCCAACTGTGGTGTGTGCAAATATAAAAAAATAACAGCAAGTAGCAAAGTGTGTAGGTGGTGTATTCTTAGGTTTTTCCAGACTAGAGCGTGGCATGTCAGAAAGCTTACCCATATTTCATGAGAGGGGGGTAAGACAAACCTGACCGTGTCACAACTCTGGTTTTGATTGCAAAGCAATAAAAGTTCAGAGTGAATACTGTGGGCTATTAATACAGATTAGGAGGTTTTAAATGAACTACTCTGTCCTCGCACAGGGAGGCTGATGTTTTTACACACTGTTCACAGAAAACCCTTGGTCAGTTCTGTCTGGTTTTTAAGGGGATGGAGAACAATAGTGGTGGCATGCATAAAAATTAGAGACAAATAATAATAATATTGAAAATGACAGGCCTCGTGCACACCTTCAGCTGGAAAGCTGTGACCAGGTTTTAAGCCCCACATCACGAGAAAATTAATTTCTAAGGGGCCAGAAAAAAGGTTCATGTGAAAACACTGAAACTGCTCACCTTACGGATCAGGAGGATACAAAGCAATGATCTACAGCAGCCTACAAACTTCTTAATAAAGTAACCGGGACTGGTTCCAACCACTGCCACGGCTGGAGGCAGGTCCTGCTCTGACACACTTCGGTAATTTCTGTTTCTCCCGCTCACCTTGCACGAGAGATTGTCCAGAGACAGCAGGGTGCTGCGCAGGCAAGGCTAGAAAAAAGCTGCTTCCGCAAACAGAATTCATAGAAGACCTTTATAAGAAGTGTAGGCACTGGAACCTGGTGCCGTTAATGGGCAGTGATGCAGCTGGGAACAGCAGCACCCTCTCTCTGAGGGAGCACCAGAGCTCTGTGTGTAAGGACTCGGGATGGGGGTGCCATGTGAAAGGGGTCCTGACCTGCCTGCAGCAAAGCCACCTCTGCTCATCAGGGCTGAGCGGCAGTCGAATCACTGCACTCTGTAGGGCAGCCAGGGCTGCGTCCTGCTGCTCCGCTGCCTGCGCTGCTCTGCTGCTCGCTCCATTCCCTGGGGAGTAAGAAGCCGCAGCAGAACACAGCATGATGATCTCCCATAAAAGACGCACCAACCCTTAAATACCTACATTTAAATCTGTTGTTAAACCGGGAGCTCCAACGGCACTACCCATCTGAGCTAATGAACTTCCTCCTGCAGAAACCAGCGCTCTGGGCTGCGGATTGCCACGCTACTCATCTCAGCTTCCAGATCGCTGCTTCCAACCTGCGCGGGCCAGACACCACTGCGAGGTCACACCCTCCTCAGAAGAGGCTCTGACTGTTTGCTCCGGGCACTCTGTACTTAAACTCATCAGTTTAAGAGAGGACTCCAGAATTCACGCCCGACAGTGTTAGCAGGCACCCGCCTGCCCGTTTGGCACAGCCGAGGCTCCAGAACTGAGCCAGCCGGGGGAAAACGCGCACAAGCTGAGGCCATCTCTCTGCCTCCCTAATTCTGGCTCCCAGACCTCATTAACTGCAGTCACAGCTACAAAAAATGCAGTTAATTATACAAACTGTAATTTCAGCCTATGAAATGCTCACCACTGACTCAGTTAGCCATCTCCGAACCTGCCACAGGATGTGGGCCCAGCAACATGAAGGTGGTTTTTGTCTTGTTTTTTACTGGACAGTTACTCCAATTGAAAGGCTGTGTTGCGTACCTCTAAATCCTGAATTCCTTTCCACATTTCTGTGTGGCTCATTCTGTGGGCAACACAGAGTCCCTAAGGTCTTCTGCACCCAGCCTGTGCATCCTTAGGCTGATGTAAAAGTGCCTGATGCGAGCTGGCACCGCACCAAGAATTTCTATTCCTTCCTCCCTGCACAGGAATCACCCCAAACTGACTGTTTTCTCCTTCTTTTGGTGTTTCTCCCAGCAGCTTGCTTCATAATTTCTGCCCTTCCCGTGATTGCTGTACCTGGAACATCTGTGATCATGAGCACTGGGGGCATTCCCAATGCCCCCCCCTTGAGCCTGCCCAGCTGTGGGGCTGCCCGTACTTTTCTAATCCAGAAACAGAGCTACACTGGTGGTATCTAACTGCCCTGCAGTGACATAGCTTTTCCCTCTTCTCCATTGTATACGAACGCAGCCTTTTGTCAGTTTAAATCAGATTTTTTTGACCAGTAACTCCTCTTAGCCATAGCGCCTTATTCATAACTATTAAACATCTGATGAGGAGCTTCTTGTAGCACTTGGTTGGAATGGCACAGTTGGACAGAGGCCTCGTAAGGCAGATTACACCTGCTCAAGGAAAGGTTACTGCAACAGTTTCTAACTCCTGCATACGAAATACATCTGTGCAGCTGAGCACACATTTTACCATCTTTCTGGACGATGGGCACTGAAGTAGTCCCATCTGAGGCCTTTTCTTCACCGAAATGCTGCTGCCTTTCTGAGCCACATTCAGAATAAAGTGCGGTGTGCTGGCACTGCAGCTGCTAGGAGCGACTCATTATTTCCAAGGCTTGCTCTACGCCTTGCCTTACTGGAGTCTTGTGCAATGGCCTGATGCAACTCTAAAAAAAAAAAATCTCCTCCAAGTTAAAATATCAGCTGCTGACTTCTGGTTAAATTCAATACACCCAGAAACTTGTTCAATATATCTGCAAGAGTTAAAAATTTACTTGCAACAATAATAAAAATACCTAAGTGGGTACAGTGACTACATTGCTAGTATTCACCTAGATATAAAAGCTAAATGTTGTTTCCTTTTCACTAACCTTAAACCCTTCTGTAGGCCATGCAACAAGCAGAATTTGGATTGCCTCGCTGTCTCTCTGCTTGGCCCAGGTAAAACTGCCCTTTCTGCTGTGCAGGAAGGCTGCCAGAAGACATTCTTACCTGCCGAGATCTTTTGTGTGGTCTTGCCACAACTGCCCTCCTTGCAGCAAGCCAGCACTAGCTCCGTGTGCTCCTGCTTGCAATGAGATCAGCTTTTTCCACACTTTGAAGAGTCAAAAATTCCTAATTTAAGGTAACAAGGCACATCTAAGCCAGTACAATTAACGTAGGTATTGTCTTTGATGGTTACTTCTACACAAAAATACATTAGTGGTATTACAGTTGCAAAGTTAAGTACTCAAGAGCTGGGAAATACCAAAACGCAGCCTATGCAGGTAGAACAGAGACGAAATAAGGGGAAGAACCAAGTTGGTTACTGCAGGTGTTAGGAAGCCCGTGTGTGGCAGGACAATAAGGGTTTATTGGGATCCTGGAACACTCCACCGACAAACTGCTCCCCACCTCTGTACCTGCTGGGGCTCCTGGCATCACAGGAGGCAAACTGTGCTTTTAAGGGATGCCCTCCACATGCGTCTGTGTTACGTCGCACGCTAAATTTATCAGGCTGTGGTATCACCTTCCACGTGCAGAACAATCGGACGCCGACAGGACGGGCGGGAGGAGAGCTCCTGACGCGTGGCGTGAGACCTGCGGTTTCCCTGTGCCTTAAGCACCTCGTGTCAGAGGTGCTCAGCGGCAGGGCCCAATCTTAAAGGCTTTTTGCCCCTAAGAGCCGCAGAAGCGGGACGACAGCTCCGTGTCCCGCCAGGTGTGGTGGCAGCACGGGCTTTTGGTGACAGCAAGCGACAAGCGCGGAAAGCAGCGCCTGCAGGAAGGGCAGCGTCCCACGGAGCTAAGGGCCCCTCAGCCAAACCCTCCTCAGCGCCGCACCGCTCCCGGATCCAACCTGGGCGCTCTCCACGGCTGGATGCGGATGGTTTTTGAGGTCCCTTCCACCCCGAAACACTCTCTGACTGCACGGTCTGTCAGGGGCTGCCGGTGAGGGGGGCTCCCCTCACGTCCCGCTCCCCCCTCCCCGAGGCCGCGTCCCTCAGCCCCCCACCACCTCCCTCAGCCCCCTCACACCCCCCTCAGCCCCCAGGTGCCTCCCTCAGCCCCTCGGAGCCCCCCTCAGCGCCCCCCAGCGCCTCAGCGCGGCCGGAGCCCGCCGCCCGCCCCTCCCTCCCTCGCTCCCTGCCCGCCGGTCTCTGGGCAGGCCTCGCGGCGCTCACTTGTCCCTGATGATGGTCTGCAGCTCCCGGATCTGGTCGTTCATCGGCAGCAGCTTCAGCTGCGCCCCGATCTCCGCCGCGGGGCTGCGCGCTTCCACCAGCACCCCCCCGTCGTTATTGCTGCCGCTGCTGCTGTCCGGGCTGGGGCTGCTCTCGCCGCCCTCATCGGGCTCGGCGAAGCGGATCAACCGCGAGCAGCCGCCGCCGCCCCCCCCTGTCCCGCCGCCGCCGCCGCCGCCAACACCACCGGCGGCTGCTGCTCGTCCTGCGGGCCGGGCGCGGGGCCGAGGCGCTGGTTGCGGCACGGCATCGCCTCCATGCGCCGGGCCCCGGCCCCACAGGCAGCCACGCGTGCTCAGCGCCGGCCCCCGGCTTGCGCCGCCGAAGGGCGGGCCGTGGGGGAGCGCCGCCGCCCTAATGGCCGCCCGCGCTGCCGCTCAAGCGGCGGGGAGCGGCGCGGGGGGGCGCTGCTGGCGGCGCGGCCTCGGCTGAGGCGAGCGGGGAGTCCCCTTGTCCCCCCCCCATGGCTCCCTCACGGGGCTTTCGGTGCTTTCAGCTCACGGTCTCGGCCCTCCAGCGCCGTGTGGGGCCCCGGGAGGCCCCGCGCCGCTGCCCGGCCCTCGGGTGGGGTGGCTGTGAGGTGATGGCTGCCCCAGGAGTGGGGCTGGGGCTGCTCTGCCCCTCTGCAGCCCTGCCATTGCCTCGGGGGAGTCCTCTCTGGCCTGTCCCTGTGGCCTGTTCCGAGTGTCTAAGGCCTTTTTGGTGATTTTAACCCCAAATACGCTGGAGTAAACTCTGGTTTAGCCTCCACGTCCTTACCCAGGTGAAGCTCCATGCTGAAGATCATGAAATACCACACAAAGTAGTGCGCTTTCATAGAACTGCAGAATCACAGAATCATTAGGGTTAGAAAAGCCCTCCAAGATCATCTGGTCCAACCATCCCCTACCACCAGTGTCACCCACTAACCCACGTCCCCAGGCACCACGTCCAACCTTTCCTTAAACACCCCCAGGGACGGTGACGCCACCACCTCCCTGGGCAACCCGTCCCTATACCTAACCACACTTTCTGACAGAAATGTCTCCTCATTTCCAACCTGGCACAGCTTGAGGCCATTCCCTCCAGTCCTATCGCTAGTTACCTGTGAGAAGAGGCCGACCCCCAGCTCCCCACACCTTCCTTTCAGGTACTTATAGGGAGCAATAAGGTCTCCCCTGAGCCTCCTCCAGACCAAACAACCCCAGGTCCCTCAGCTGCTCCTCACAGGACTTGTGTCCCAGGCCCTTCACCAGCTTCGTGGCCCTGCTCTGGACACGCTGCAGGGCCTCGATATCCTTCTTGTAGTGAGGGGCCCAAAGCCAAACCCAGCACTCAAGGTGTGGCCTCACTAGAGCAGAGTACAGGGGGACGATCACCTCCCTGGTCCTGCTGGCTGCACTATTCCTGATATAAGCAG